TTGTATTTATTGCGCCTGGAACTCCCAGTAGGTCTGACTGCTTATGAAACAGCTCTCGGAGTATTTTCACTTTATTTTGAGCCTCTTTAATTTCCTGCTTACATGGTAGCGGTGTGCAGTTCACGCGTGACATTTTCATAACTTTTAGAAATGTGTGTGCATCGCCTATCAAGCGTGGCTGCGTTGTTGTTGCAGTTCTTGTTTGCGCATCTTAGCATTCTTGCAAAGCAGCTGGAAGGCACCGGCACTGCTGTTTCGTCAAATTGTATCCCGAGGCCCTAAATCATCGTTCAAGGTGGGCAAAGTTATTTTCTGGCACGTAAAGGGAATTTTATTGCTGATAAACACACAGCCGCCTGGGTGAAGCCGACCCCGGGTGTTACAGGCTTTTATTATTCACATCAAATGGAATGTACAGCAAATGCATCACTGCAACTAATGCAACAAACAGTGCAATGTTGTAGCAAGTGTGTAACAATTCACCCCCTGGCGAGTCGATGCACTATCGTGACTCAGAGCCACAATTTTAGTCAAGGTTATTATTTTTAATGACCGTATTTTTCAGTTTATATAAGACTCTCCCCACCCCCCACGCTGTTTTTTTTACAGCAAAGGTCGGCGGAGCATCTTACAATCCGGTAGGTGTGTGTGTGACCATATTAATAAACCTTAATGACCCCGAGAACACCTTTTGGGTGTGTCTTACTTTCAGGAGATTGTTATAATCCTAGAAAAATCGTATTTATATTGTGGTGAATCCAGTGGCTGCTACCGGCTGCGGGAGTCAAGTTGACCCATGACATAATACTGTGTACATGAGGTGCAGTACTGTACACGTACGAACGTGTACGGGGCTTTTGTCATCCACTGGTGTACGAAGGCCTCGGCACCACTGTGCGGTGATGGGGGTCATTGACCACACGGTATACACACCGCGTTGGTCAGTGCGGGTTGCTGAAGGTGGGCAGCACGGACAAGGAATCATACGCACACTGCAACAGATGTACAAGTATCCCTAGATTTTGCGAAAAGGGATGCGTCGTTCAAAAAAACACACGCGTATAATCGAAATTCCGCACATCGGAATGGATTTTCCCATTAACGTAATGCAAAAATGTAGGGATGGGTTTCGGACAGTCATTCCAACTCAACTTCTAACCTAAAAAAGTACACATGTCACTTTTCGCAAAGCAAAAATAATAACAATAAAGAACATGAACCGTACAACAATTGAATAATCATGCATTTTTAAAAAGAACAATTATTTACCTTTTCAGTTAACACACCAAAAGGGGTCGTCCATAAATGACGTCACGCGATTTTGGACGATTTTTTACTCCCCCCCCGCCCTTCATCACAGGGCGTCACCAAAAGTCAGACCCCCCCCCTCAAATATGACGTCATAAAGCTCTCCCCCCCCCCCCCAAGAAATATAAAACATCCTTCAAATCGCTTTAAACTATTGTGATCGTAGTGCGTATTTAATGTGGCGTTGCACTCTGATGTTGTAGGAGAAAACATTTATTAAAAAGTCCATTTAATTTTTTGATGTGACGTCACATTTCTCAACCCCCCCCCCCCCTAGGTGCGTGACGTCATTTATGGACGGCCTGAATGATGTGCATGTTGGAATGACTGTAAAGGTGACGTTTGGCGCCACTGCTGCACTGCAGGGATACACCGTCACGCTGTCGTGAAGGGTTGCCACATGTTCCCGGGTGATTTATTTTATTTTTCTACCTACGTGACTTTACCGAAAGAACCAAAGAGTATGAATTCCTGCAGTCACGAAAACTTCAAATCAAGATCGGGCGTATCTTGTTTGATCTGATGTCGCGTGCGGTGTGAAATTTCGTTGACGTGGAAAATCGATGTCGTTAAACACGAAAATGTCCATAATATGTCAATTGCGTTAACGCCAAATTTCGTGAACCGAAACGTTCGTAAATCGAGGGTTACCTGTACAGTACCGCATCTTGCTGCACTGCCCTCTGCTGCCGATGACGTCTCTTGGCAAGCCCTCTGACAACCGGGTGATGTGGCCCGGCGGTAGCGTGTTCGCCGCTTGTTATAGAGGGTCGTGTTTACAATCCGGTTGATGCGTTAATTTTATTGAGAGAGGCACAGCGCCGTTGCTTTTAAAGACATTGTACTCACCGCAGAGAGCTGTAGCGACACGACCGCCGCACTCTATGATAGCTAGCGCCAACTGTGCCACACGCCCTCCCGCATGACCTTGTGGGAGCCTTTGTACCGGTAAAGTAATTTTTTTCAGTTTTCATTATGTACACGTACGTCGACGTACACGTATGTGCACGGACGCAATCGGAACGGGAAAGGGTTAACCATGAAATATGCACCATCAGATTCACTGTGGCCGTTAATTCATCACGTGATGTCATTCAAAACCAGTATGCCACTTGTGTGTCCCGGCGTCGCGGTCCAAATTTTGCCAAATTCGAAAACGTATCCTCAATTACTCAATTGTGATCACACATGGCGGACGAATTGCTCGCAGGCCTAGTGCTGAGGAGTCACCTTGTGTCGCACAAAGTCGGTTGCCAATGAGGGTGCCCTTACACATGTGTTGGGTGACATGTCGCGTGTAAAGCGCTTCGACACACCCCGGTGCGAAGGTTGCCCTACCAAAAAACTAATAAAGATTCTGCCATTGTTATCCAGGCTCGTGGCCGCTTATTCTGCGAGATCTAGCAAGATGAGGTGCATTCCGTGTAATTTGGTCACTGTTATGCAACATGTAGCAATCAAAAACAAACAAAATGGTATTTTGAGCTTAAGAATCGATATTACTTGGCAAATCGACTCACGTTACAGACCTAATAATATGCGTGACGAGTGTCCTTTCTAAGACAACCCAGCTGGCACGTGACATGTGTGTGAAGGAATTGAAACAAATACGATGCTGCAAAAATGATCAATAGCCTCCCCAACGCATGCTAATGCATGGACGGTACTGGCCACAAACCAAACACACCGCAGTCCACAACAAAAACAGAGCAGCCTGCGACTGCTTTTCCACGAGATTCACCCCACTGTGCAGAGAAGTTATAGGGCCACCCGGAGGTTCCTGGAGACCCAGGGCAGAATGCCACGTGGGGCCCCTTATTCGCTAGCGACACAAAAAAGTCTATTCTGGGGGTCCTCTTTTGTGTGAGGGCCAGGACAAAGCTGCCCCTTTTGTCCCCACCCCTTCCGTCCATCTGGGTGGGCCTGAAAACAGATACCAGTATGAGCATTTACACTGGGGAACATTCTGAAACGCCATCTATTGGGTTCGAACAGTTTCAGCATATTTATATATCTTAAGACCACAAAAACTCAGGGAAATTTTAAGGTAATCATCACTGGCAATAGTTATCACAATGTTTTTTTTTTTATATAATGTAAATATATTTACAGTCTCCTTAAAAAGTCAATATCAGTCATAATCAAGGGTTTTGGGTTAGATCGCGTTATTTATAAATGTGTCGCATCCCTCCACCACCCGACATGGCCAATCAGTCAAAAATGTGTCAGGTTGACAAAAGACAAATAGTTCACTACTTTAGCCCACCGGTGTGTTGAAGAGTGAATCCACAACATTTACAATTTTTGAGTACGCCGTTTCGCTGGTATCCAGCATCATCGGGCAATTTGCCAGAATATCAGTATTCATCCAATTATTTTAATTGCTCAAATCTGGACAAATGTGATCTGGACAAATGCGATCGCTGCCCCCCTATTGGGTAACCGGGATGACAGCTTCCAATGAGATCACAAATAAAGGTCACATGATGGCCCAAGGATGTGTACAATGTAGACTGAACATTTTTTATGAATATAACTCTTCAGCAAACTCTGTTATCATTAGACAGATAGAACTCTGTTACTCTACGTCATTCCCATACTACGGCGCCAAAGTTGCTCATGATAAATTAGTTGCTGCCTCTAGCAGAAGTTGTTTGAAAATCATAATCAAACGTGTGTGGATAAGTGTTCGTGTTTGTATGGTGTGGCTCTCCTCCTGAAGAAAACATAAAACATATACAATTCGTCCTGACTGGGTGAGTTCAGACCAACACAGACCAATTAGAATTTGTAAACGCAGTTGTTTGGTACGAAGAGTACTTGCTCATAAAAATTAAAAAATGTGAAATGTAAAAAAACGATACTTCCAAAATAATGGTGCAAAAAAATAACACATTCCTGCGGAGGGAGCTGGTAGGAATGTTGGGTTGCTCGCTCAATGGCCAGGGTCAACGGCGGCGTGGTGTATTCTGCAAATATGGCCGACTGTGAGGGCGGGCACAAGCCGGCGTGAGTAGGTTAAACGTTGAGTTTTATAAGGGCATCACGGGGTGACCAGCCCCTCCTCACCCAGCCCCACCCCTCCCACCCCCCACCCAGCCCCTCCCCACCCTCCCCTCTCCACCCAGCCCCACCCCTCCCATTTTTGGTTGCACGACGGACGGACAGACACAATAATCCCCTGTGGGCTTTTGGAACTAGGTGGTTCCTACCAGTACTAATGTCCGTTGAGTGTTAGAGCTGTGGTGTAATGGCAAGCCTACTGCCCGAGTTCGATTCCCAGACATGGCGGCAAACATGAGCACCGAGTTCGACCTGAACCAGTCCTGGGCACCGCCCCTTCGTCACCACCCCACCCCAACCAGCGTGGTGAAGTAGGGTCAAACAACCCCCACGGCCGACCCTGTATGAGGAAGCCTTCATCCAGCAGTGACTTGACAAATGGCTTTTACATAATTCTCTTAAGAATAATAAACATTCACCATGAACATAATGAAGGTGTTTGGGTGAGATCGCGCAAGTATAAATGTGTCGTAACCCTCCACCACCCGGCACAGCCATTACCATCAACGGTGCTCTCGTTGGATCATGTTGGTGTTTTAATAAGCTCACGACGTTGGTCATAAACCTGCAAATGTTTCCACATTTGGGTGAATCCATCAACAGATGAGTCCATGTTCAGTGGCATGTAGTATAGGATGCTTATACTTTATTTGAATAATGCACGTAAAAAAAAATGTACTTGGTCATTTTGCCGTAGAAAATGTGTTTGCACCGTTTCAATTGCTTACGTGACATTTTTCACGTTACAATTCTGGTCTGCTAAACCGCTGACATGTTCTGTTTTGCTATCCTTGTACCCACCTCTCCTCTGGAGATCACCCTTGACAAAGAGCTAACAACCACAATGGAACTTCCCCCGGGAAAACCACGACATGAATTTGAAAAACGCATATTTTTCGCATCGGAATCTAACCGTCTTTACAACATTCAAAAACATTCAACAGAAGCGCGCAACGTTCACTTCAAACAGCCAGCCGTGATGCTGGTTATAAGTCGTAGCAGTCCCTGACGAGAGTCATTTCCGGCACCGTCTGATCGCACGCTGATCCCTTGGGCCCTCCAACGCCAACCGCTCCGAACGGGCCTCCTTCGGCAACGGCTGACTCGACGTGAGTGAAATCTGTCCGGAACCACGGGTGCTCGAGGATTTCCGGCGCCGTCAGCCGCTGAGCCGGATCGTAGCACAGCAGGGCTCGCAGGAGGCAGCAAGCCTCTGGCGACAGGCTCTCCCCGGACACGCCGTTCTGGCCCCAGCACATCCCGTCGCCCTCCTGGAAGGGGTAGCGTCCCAGCAGCATGGCATACAGAGACACACCGAGGCCCCACACGTCCACCGCCCGGTCCAAGCGACCGACGTCCTGTGGAAGGCCCCCCGCGCTCGTGCAAAAGTCAGAGCCGCGTTTCTCTGTGTGAAGGTCGCTCGCAAAGCGGTTGTCACTTGGAGCCGAGTGAGCATCTTCCAGACTGACCAGCATTACGTGGGTCCTGGTGGAAAGAGAAATTATTCCATAATTATGTTGAGTCACGACTGACGGGTACATTCTGTGTTGAGCATGTGCTACTGCCTGAATCATACGTTCAATTCAGGGGGTGACCTTCATTCAAAGGGGGGTGACTTGGTAACCGACAAAATATTATCGTCAAGAGGCTTTCGTTGAGTAGGTACTAGATGAAAGTGGATTTTTTAAAGTGAAATTATTAAGTTGATTGTGCAGCCATATGTGGATTGATGATATAATAAATACCATCAAAAGTAAATTGCAAACTGTTCTGATGAATTATGGTTGTCTTTAATAATGGTACATCCTGCTGATGAAAGCTTAATTGATATAATTTGTCAGGCTGATATGAGATAAAATATACATGTGGATGTGCAGCCCTTTAATCATTCCACTGCTGAAATGACCCAATTCTTGATTTTATCTGGATCTCTCCGAGCTGGTGAACGGGAAAATATCTATGCACCAGCTCTCTTGAAAATATTCAACGATAAAATGAAGCCCCGCTTAAACAAAGGCAACGTTTACAACGCGATAAATAATACAAAGTACGTTACCTCTCCGCATCTGCGAACACAAAGCGCCGCAGGCTGAGGCCTCCCAGGACCAGGCCGTTGCTGTGGCAGTGGGCCACCGCCTCGGCCATCTGTCGGAAGAGCCGGGCCGACTCCTCTTCGCTGAGCCGACCTCGTGAGCGCACGTAGGCACGTGCGTCACCTCCCGCGGCTCTCCCGAACAGTGCGTACGCGCGCGTCTCTCCCAGCACGATCGCGGACGGGCACGCTACGCATGCATGCACCGGCAGGTGGAAGTAGGGCGCCAGCACAGCCTGCCAAGTCTGCAGCTCCAGCACCTGATGGCAGCCAAGGGGCATATGCAACAAAAACGAAATGTCACTTATGTGTCCATTAATATATCTGCCCACATGCTCTGGGTTGTGTTTCGCTGTGGACTGGTACTTAGCCTCGCTCGTGCAGAAATGTGTGCTGTTCTCACGCAGCGCAGAATAATTCGTAAAACATTTTAGATTCCTCTGTGGATACCTGTATAACATTGCGACTTGTGAATTGAGTCAGTTTTGATTACCGTTTGCTACTTTTGCTGATATTTTTTTTTTGCTGGGAGTACTTGTCACTTGTTCTGCTCTGAATGTGTTTTCTGCATCGATTTTTTTTTTCGTGTGTCCAATGTTTGTTCTGTGCTCATATCTTGTACCACGGGTCCGCTTTGCGAAAGAGAATTCCATATTAATGGGCTCGCTGCACGTTACAAATACAGCTCATTGATTTGTTGTTCTGCTGAGAGATGACCTCATAGTTGGGCTTTACCGATCTAAATGCACACCCGTATTTCAGCACTTCTTCCTGGTGCAATGAAAATGTTGACCAAACTGAGATGAACAAACTCCATGGACATAGATCGGTACACTTATTATAACTGTTTTTTTCAATTCGGGTTAGAGGCCACGTTTCAAACAGAGGATTTCGGCAGCGCTGGCACGGTCAGTTTATTATCAGCTCTGAATGACCTATTGACCCTATTTTCTGGGAATGCCGAACTGACAATCACAACCCGATATATTATCCATCCCCTGTTGTAAACATTCTTTTGGTTCTTTTCTTAAGTCTTGCCAAAAAATGTAACGATACAATGAAACCGTAGTAAACCGTGATCATTTTCACGTGACTACTTGGAAACATCCACAAATGTATATGTCCTACTCGGAGCCCTTAAACAGTTGTGCAACAGCCATGTTGGCTCAACACGCCATGATAAAGATTACAACAACCATTCGCACCATCTTTGCATAGATTGTTCTCACCTGGGTAAAATAAATTTCACTAATGGACTACATTTCCTTGTGTTAATTTGTAAAAAAGAAGCTTGCTATCTTAGAATTCCCTATATAGCCAGTGTGTGTTTGCGCTACAATTCCGGCTCGCATTTATGCTGGAATAATGTGCTTGTAAATTGATCATGTGCTTTGTGTCACTGTGGTAATGGTTGTCGTGCATTGGTTTGGCCCAATGAGCACTCAGTACTATCTATGGACAATTCGAGCATTATCCCCTTGTCAGGGCGTGCAGGCCAAGCACTAAGGTTACATTACGTTGGGGCAATTAAATGGAAAACTTTAGGGCAACAGCTACCTGCATTTGTCACCGGCAATAGCTGTGGCACCATTTTTTTTGAGAAAAAATGTTCGGTACCAAAATCTGGATCAATGTGATCACTGCTACCCCTAGTGGACAACTGGGATAGCAGCTTCCAGTGAGATTCCAAACAGGTCACATGACTCCACTAGGTTTTTTGTTTCTCTCTCAAACAATCGTTGTTTGTCAAACACACTCTTCAACGAGCTTCTTACAACTTTGTCACTCATTGCAGTAGTTGCTTACATTAAATATGTTGGAAGTAATAATTTCCGGGTTAGATATCCCTAAACCTAGCTTAGAATTTCCCCAGTGCACCGTGGCCTATAAGGACTGGGTTGTCATGGTGATTGCCCAGAGCACAAAGCTGTGTTTGGCACTTAAAATGCACGATTTTATGGTGTATACCCAAGGTTACGGATCTATCATGAAGCCCAAGAGGGAGGCATGACACTTACGCACACGGGTTAAATGACAACAAATAATGAGTAATGCTTACACACACGGATTATGTGACAAATAACAACTGAGAGCGCTATTGCCAGGGGATCACTTGAAAATAGGCACTAAATATGATCCGAGGGGAGGGGTGGGGAGCCTACTGTCCGTGACTTTCATTTCACACGGTCTGCATACACTTCGACACAACCCGCAAACGATATTTACCCGTCACTGCAAGCATCTTAGCCGCATAAATCGGGTTCCGGAGTGGAGCGTTTACGTCCTGGCGACACTGTGTTTCTAACTTTAGTGACAGAAGTGACTAAAGTGTGTGTATATGTTTATGCGGTTGCCTCCCAAAGATATTTGAAAGTCCTATTCGGCCCTCGGTAGAGAAAGGATTCCCCAGTCGTGGCCTCCGGCCATCTAGGCTGGGCTTATGTTTGTCTTCTTGAAGTAGTACGGAGCTTCTTGAAGAACTACAATTTGCAGTTCAGGAACTTTCGTTTGCTGAAGCAGCTCCCAGCACGTTGAGCGAAACGGACATCGTGCCAAACAACGCACGGTTACTATTCTATTTGAAAACAGATCGGAGAACTTCACAGCATCACCACCAAAAAAACACATACTCATTCATTTTTATCAGTGCTGAGGAGGGGGCGTCTCGCCTCACCTTGCACACCAACTCCTCGCCCGTGTGCGTGTCCACTGCCCGGAGCATCCTGTCTTCCGAAGGGGCCTCCAGCAGCACGTACTTGTCGACGCGTGCCAGCGGGCACACTGGCGAGCTGGCAGAAGGCGGTGCAGGGTCAGGGGTCACCCTCGCCGAGTAGCCTCTCGACGAGAGGAGAGAAGGCCTTCTCCTCGCTCCCCTGGACGCGTGGAGCCGTTTGTGGGATTTCATCGTTCGCCGGAGGGAGCTCGACGCGACGCTAGAATCTCGGAGACTCATTGCCGCAGTCGCTTTCTTGAAACTCCAGGCGAAGGGGAGGATTCGTTTGTGGCGGTGTCTGCGGACTGTGAAAACAACGAATCCAAATTTTTGTTCCAACCGTGCTACCGTGTATCTTGTCGTGGGACAAAGTGTCGATCGGAGAGCTGTGGAACCATTCTTCTTGTTTCTTTCGGTAAAGTCACGTAGAAGGGAAGTAATAAAATAATAAAAATAAAACATAATAAAACAATTCTCACGACGTTTCGGCTACAACGCAAGCAGCCGTCTTCAGGTGAAGAATGAGACACTACCAAACTAGGAGCTTATATATAAGCTGCAGCTTATATATAAGCTCCTAGTTTGGTAGTGTCTCATTCTTCACCTGAAGAAGATGAATCCCTGCAGTCACGAAAGCTTTAAATCGAAATGTGGAACCATTGTTTACTAAATGAATGTCCCGCAGAAGCGGATGTTACAAAGCTACCTCTGAGATTCTCATCCACTGTACACGTTCTCTGCATTTGCGTGTGCGGATTTTGTAACGCGAACGTAAGTGCATATCATCGTCATCATAAGCATGATGGAAGGCCTCCCCAAACAAGCATGTGCACTATGAACCCGGCGACCTGTGTTCAATTCACAGCCATATATCAGTGGCGAGCGATAATGTGAACTAGTGCTGCCCCCCACTTTACCACCCCGCACTGCGCCGCCTGGTGAAGTATGGTCAAACAAATCCACATCACCGACACAGCGTGGTCAGGTCTTCATCCCGCAGTAAATTCACAAATAGATGTAAATATTTTTTTCAAGTAATTACTATATTCTATATGAATTTCATGCCGATAAATATAAGTGTACATGATATAAAAAAATACTACTTCAGTGAATTCTCACGATGACAAAAATAAGGTTAAATAGAAATTACAATTTCGATTTAAAGCTTTCGTGACTGCAGGGATTCATCTTCTTGGTTCTTTCGGTAAAGTCACGTAGAATGGAAATAATATTATTTTATTATTTATTACTTCCATTCTACGTGACTTTACCGAAAGAACCAAGAAGAGAAATTACAATAATAGGATTTTGGACAGGAAAGGAGGCTCTGACTGTATTTGCCAGCTCTAAAGGCTGAGCCCAATGAGACTTCCTCTTTAAGGACCCGGCAATGTTTCCATTGCTTCGATGATAAGTCTTTGCAGTCTCACCATCATTGCAATGCCTGCAATTACGTTTAAAAATATATATATATAAATTCCACAGACAGCACCTACCACAGCGCCACGCTTACCCTCCGCTCCCCGCAGATATGCGATGAAATTTTGATTTAAAGCTTTCGTGACTGCAGGGATTCATATTCTTGGTTTTTTCGGTAAAGTCACGTAGAAGGGAAATAATAAAATAATATAAATAAATTCTCCACAGCAAGATGATGATTGCTTGTGTTGCAGTCGAAACGTCGTGATACTTTTTATTGTTTTATATTTATATTATTTTATTATTTCCCTTCTACGCGACTTTACCGAAAGAACCAAGAATATAGATATGCGATGGTTGAGCATCGATCGCGATTTGGCAAGCAAAGGTTCACCTGCCCATCTCTCAGTTCCAAGTGGCTCTCATCACACTTGCGATTGCATAACAAGGCATGACTGTGAGGAGGAGTCCTTCATCTCGCAGAGCCGTAACATCATTATTACCGTTACTAATTCGCAATGCATGTAGTTACATGCGGGCACGCAAATGCCATGTCAATCATACTAATGCTGGCCAATGTACTAATAACTCGATGTTAGTCATTATTAAGATAAAAACTTGTCAAATACATTTTGAGTTTCCACAACTGGATTGAGGCCGACACTGAGGATGAGCACTGCTCCATGCTCACGTTTTAGCAAGGAAACATTTGAACTGACTGAATAATATTCAGAATAACGATGCAATTTATGTATCCGTTACAAGCCTCACTGAATCTTTCCGCTACGTTTTGCTTCAATAGTTACATAAGGACATTGTTACATAACACTGTGCATACAATTATAAGTGTTAACATGTTAGAGTGCATACGTGAGAAGTATTTTAAGACAATAAGGACCGCAGCACATAGACAATAATAACGCAAGTGAACCAGGAAAGCCTCACCGAGTATCAAGGCTCTCAGAAGAGCATCACTATTAACATTCGGAAGTTTGGCCAATTACGTTTATGATTGTTTGGCTTCTTTATAGGAAGGAAATCGGAATGCCTGGAGAAAACCCACCGTGCATACGAGTGGTGGGTGACACACTCAGCACTGCCATCTCCTGGCCACAACCCCATTGCTTCAACCGCCTGTGATCACCCATCCGAGCACGAACCAGGCTCAAAACCTGCTTAGCTGCTTGAGATCGGACAAGGGTCGGGCGCCTTTAGTTTGGTCACATGCAGCGAGACGCGATACAACGCAACCGCAGCGTATGCCCACTTCACGCCGGATGCATGAAATACTGTAAATATGAGCGCAACTCCCAGATGCACCTTTGCATTATAACCCTCATTGCAAGGCACGCGCAGCGCACGGTCTGCCGAGGAAGTCTCACCTCCGTGTCGCGTCGCCAATTCCAGCCGCATGAAAAAAAAAAGACTTGTGCCGCTACGAAAACTTGGGGGGCTCCCTCCTGCAGTCGAAGACGGGGGCGACGCTGCCGCTTCTGCCGCTGCCTGTCGCGGCGGTGATGATGTGGGAGACGGAGTGAGGAGGATGAGGCGTTTTATGACAGCGCCTCCACCGATCGGCTGGGATGACAACCGCGCGCCACCCACCCCACCTTCCCCGTGCAGTCACCGCCCCCCCCCCCAATCCTCTTCGCTTTAACACCCATGCCTCCCCTCCACTCCAGCACCTCCCCAAGGGGACGCATTCACAGAGTGTACCCAGCCGGAGGAGAGCTACGCCTCACTCGCAATTTCTCAGAGTGCAGCCAGAAGTGCGCGTGCGGGACACACCCGCGATGAGCGGGGGAGGGAGGGGAAGGGCCGTTGATGTATTTGCCGTTCAACCTCGCAATGGCAGTGCGTGCATTCTGAGAAAACGGCCACCGGGGAGATGGAGCGATGCAATCTCGTGCGAGAGACGGCGACAGGCTTTAGGAAAGCCTTCCTCTCAGCAGGCAAATAATCGGAGCTGATGACGACGATGATGATGCTTTCCCCGCGTTATGACACCGTGTGATTCTGAGTAGTCGGTCACATCAGGCTGAGTCCGTCAACCCGCTACGCTTGAAAACCCAGGTTCATCACAGACAGCAGGCGTGGATTTGAGCTCAGCAACTGAGCGTTGCCTGCTCAAGCGCTCAGAACTCCGAGTCGCGCATTGCAATTAATTAGCACGGCACTTTCCCGAATGCAGCCTTCGCCAATCAGAGTGCGTGGCTCCCAATAGGAATGTCTTGAGAACAAATTACTAGCGCTCGTCAATTCAGGTCATCATCTCCCCCGGGATGAGTTATATTAATCGCACGCGGTTGGAAGTTAACGGCGATTGGCTCCCACCATAGCGTTGTACACCGTTTTGTGTCAGTGGAAAGGATGATGGCCAGGTGGTGGAGACTAACGATGGAATGGCAGTCAAAGGGTGGAAACATATATGCTGGAGAGGAGATGGTGCATTGAAATCAGCTCGTGTGCAGGTGCTCGATAGATTGTTGCATCTTTAAGCCCTGAGAGATGGCGGCCGCTTGGGGCGGCATTTATTTAGCAGTAGAATGACCATGGCTGATAATGATGATGATGAGTTATTTGTCGTGCTGAATTGCTGCACATTTTTGACAAATGTCAGGACAATTCATCTTTGGGCTTTTTTTTAACAACCCAAATTCAACCCAACCCATGAATAAATATAGCATCTTTCCTACCCTCATCCAAATTGCCCTAAAAAAAGGAAGCATGAAATACATTCATTATTATTCACCTTGCGCCTGATTCTGTGAATGAGCACAATAGCGGAGCGTCGTGTCGGCAAGGCTCGCGTGATTTCGAGAACGCGCGTGTCGTTTCCGCGTGGATGTGCGCGTGTGCGCGAGTCGTGACTGGCAGCCTCCACCAATCCAGCCCACGCTCACAAGGCTACGTACGGTCAGTCACCGCAGAAGCAGCGATTTTTTTTTGTCTTTGTTAACGTGCAAACATCGTCCCGTTGTTATTCAGCTCCCCGGCTCTCGACGCTCGCTCGCTCGCTCGTACGCCTCCTCGCAAAGGCGCTCTTGATCCGAGAAGGTCAGCAAGGGGGGGGGGGGGGGGTTGGCGAAATGAGGAGAGGCGCTCACGGAACATTCTGTGCTCCGCGCGAGCGGCCTCACGACCCAGAGACGATCTTTATATCCCGGCAGCGGCGCGGGGAAGGTGTTGACGCGTCAATGAGGCTGAAGGAAAATCACCTGAAGAACGACTGCGCCACGCACTCGTTTCTCTAATGCCTCCGCAGGGAGAGGAAGACGGATCGTTCCAGCAAATTAAGCTGTGTCGAGATGACTCATGCATGCGTTGCGATAATTCCGCAACTGTGAGAATTCTTACATTTACATGTTTTGGCATCTCGTGTTGTCATTTAACTGGCTCGTGAATGCAGCTTGATATTGAGGTTCTAGTTGTGTTTTTGCACAAAAAAAATTCCATAGTGCGCCATTGTAAAAAAAATAACAAAATAATTATTACCGTCATCATAAGCCATGATCTGTCCGATGCGGAATGAAGGCCTCTCTACTCCGACGCAAATTCCTCATAGTCTTGCGATGTCCAAACTCCATTAATACTTTAATCAACCCAGTCTTTTAATAACAATAACAATACCCTAGCAACAATGCATCCAATTGGGTGGATTGGTGGTAAGTGCACTTGCACTATGAACCCGAATTCAATTGTGGCAAAGTAGAGAGTCGTGTCTGAACTTGTCGTGACCACCCGCTTCCCCTGTTAAAGATCCTCGTACGAAATGGAATATTTTTTCAAAAATAAAAAAAACACTCACCGACACAGCCATCCCAAACCCCCATTATCGGAAAGCCACTTGCTACTGCCAAAGCACGTTTGAGTACCAGAGTAATCCCTTCATTCATTATCACAAAAGGATAAAGATCCCACGTTAATAGTATTAAAGTGCATTAGAACATAACATCCCTGGTACATAAGAGTACCTGAGTGTTCAGTAACCGTTCTGCCATATTTTCCCCGCATAACATTGTTGGTAATAATTGCTTATTTTAATCTGAGTTGACCGAAAGTAGGTCCTCTCTTCATTCCTAACATCCCTTCTAGCGACCTATCCTGCCCAAACCAACTCACTTAGTTTAACAGTCAATATAATGTTTGTAATCTGTGTATATGATCTAGTTCACGTGTTACTCCTTTTGTTTCTCTTTGTCAATGCAAACATACACCTCTTCGTGCTTCATTGCACATTTTACAATTTTTTGCACAATTTTAATTTTGGTCAATGTCCATGTTTCTGATCCATGTCCTTAAACAAATGCAGGTGGTCTCCGGTTTATGACGGTCCTATGTATATGTACACATGCACACTTCCGATGTGTATGCCACTATGGATCGATTTACGACGCACGAACTGAATTCACGACGTTTTCTTCCGACACGACTGTGAACAGAGTCAGTATGGTTTCCGATGTTTCTTGGCGTGGAGCTTGTGTCATTCTCACGTGGTTTTGTGCGTGCATTTTTACCTATGAAACCTGTTAAATGTGGTTGATAAAAGGAAAAAAACACATCGGCAAGCGATGTTGTGAATGTTTCTGCTGTCTATGTGAACATCGGGTGCGAATTATGACGATTTGATTTACGACGACGTTTCCACGATCGCATTGTCGTCAAACCGGGGACCGCCTGTACATACTTATGAGCACAAATACATATTTGAGAGCATTACATAACCATGCATGTACATGCGTGTATCTTCCTTGTACAGTAATATGTTTTGCTTAATAAATAAATGTGAAGCAATTCGTTTATTTAAAGTCAAATCATGATCAGGGTGGACTTGACCCATCATCCCTCAGGGGCAGTTAAAATAAGTACCACTTTTCAAGACGTTTACTTTGGTTTTTATATGTCAAGACTGTTCCCTCCATAAGAATGTAGAATTTGATCACCTCATTTCACCCTCCATCTCTGCAGTTTTTTTCCCATTAACCAGCTCATTTAATCTCCACCTTCTTCCATCACCCCCTACCCACACATCCTGAAACACCCTAGATGGCTACGTACGGTGCGAAAGAAGTGCAACACATATACACATACTTAATTTTCCTCTCTGACTGCACAGCTTCCCCCATCAATGCTGATCTCCACCCCCGTCCGATCACCTTCTCTTCACCCTGACCATCACTTTACCCTCCCCTCCCACCTCTGTACCCTCGAACCTCACCCCACCCCCTTCTTCGCCACAATCTCCGTGCTCTCGTCCCTGCTGATCTCTCTCCTATCCTCCAGCACCCCCCCCCCCCTCCACCACCACCTCTGACTTTTCCTCTCTTCACGATGACAACACCGCTTCTACTCTTGCTTTGGCTCTCTCTTCTTTTCTCGACACCCTTGTTGCTCTGTGTTTATTTACTCCCCCCCTTCCCCTCAGTCCCCCACCTCTGCCTCCCTCAAGACTCTGCCAGGTTTGCAAAGCCGAGGCGTCGCTGGAAATCCCCCTCAGCCCAGACCCACATACCTTACCGTGCTCTTCTTGCAGCTTTTGAATCTGAAGAAATATAGTCAGTTTCAGCTTCATTTATTTGGTATAGCCCTGTGAGCAATTCGGCTCTTGAATCTGGTGCAACCGCAACAAACAAAAAACAAAAACATGAACAAGAAAACATCTTAAAGTGACTATGCGCAAACAGAAAAATCCAGGAAAAAACTGCAAAGTCTTCCAGAAAAAAGCACCGTTCGCCAACGCTGTGCAAAAATCCCAGTGGGATGCAAGTCAAACAACAACCACAAGACAACTTAGATTAAAGCCATCTTTCTAACTCCGTACTACAACAAACAAACATGGCCAAACCAAACATTTTTTTCGAAATCACCAAAATAAAGCCATAAGCAATGTAACAGTGATCACATTTCCTATCCCTCATATCGTCCCTTGCCCCTCATCCTCGACAACTCTTTTCCAACCGTCAACAACTTGCTCCATCCCTCTGCTTCTACCCTGTGTTGCTGTCCCTCCTCTCCCCGCCGTCACACCTACATCTTCATCTGAGCTCTCCATGGTCATTTCCAAAACTCACCCTACCTCTTCCCCCCTTGACCCCATTCCTGCCTCCCTTCTTCCTTGCCTCCCCCCCCCCCCCCTTATCCTTCTCTACCTTATGTCCCTCTTAATGCTTCCCTCTCCAAATGTGTATTCCCCTCCACTTTCAAATCTGCTATTATGTGTCCTCCCCTCAAAACACTTTCGTTTGACCCTACCATTGCTGTCAATTATCATCCTATTTCTCTTCTGCCTCACCAATCCAAACATTTGGAACGCCTTGTTCACAACCAGCTCTCACTCTACGTTTCTTTACATTTCCTCTATACCCAATTTCAGTCTGGTTTTCACCCTCTTCATTCCACCGAAAGAGCCCTTCTCATTGTCCAGAACCATCTTGCAAAGTCCTTCTATGCCGGTCTTCCATTCTCGTTCTTTTTTTTACGTTTCCTCCACCCTTGACACTGTTGATCACCGCGCTCTTATTTGCACTCTCTCCAACCCCGGCATCTATGACACCCCCCTCTCTTGGCTGAAGTCTTTACCTCTCTTATCACACTTGCTCAGTCTCTTTCAATCACTCCATAGCCCATCCCTCCCCTCTCAGTGTCA